TACACCACCAAAAAACCCTTGACCCCCACCTAACCCTTGGGCACCACCTGACCCCCTTTGACCCACCTGAACCCTCTGACCCCACCTAACCCTCTGACCCCACCAACACCTCTGACCCCCTAACACCTCTGACCCCACCTAACCCTCTGCACCACCTAGACACCTGTAACACCACCTAACACCTCTGACCCCACTAGACCCTTAACACCCCCTAGACACCTCGACACCACCTAGACCCCTCTGACCCCACCAGAACCTCTGAAAACCCCTAACACCTCTGACACCACCAACACCTCTGACCCCCCTAGACACCTCGACACCACCTAGACACCTCACACCACCTGACCCTCGGGACACCACCTAGACCCTCGACACCCCCTAACACCTGTAACCCACCTAGACACCTCTGACACCCACCTAACACCTCGACACCACCAACACCTCTGACACCACCTGATACTGGGGTCGAGTGCCACGGATAATAACATGGCATTTTAAGTTCCAAGTGTATGAGGGTCAATACTCAATTTCCCGGGGGCCAAGACTAGCATTTTTATCTACCTTTATTGAGTTTTGCCACGAGTGGGTCCCCAAATTTGGTGCCACTAAGTGGGGCTACTGAGTGGGCCACTAAGTGGTGCTACTGAGGGGTGCCACAAAATGGTGCTACTGGGGTGCCACTAAGGGGGTGCTACTGATGGTCCCACTAAGTGGTGCTACGATGTGCCACAATTTTGGTGCACTGATGGTCCTAAGTGGGCTTTTGAGGGGGGCCCTGGTGGTGCCACAATGGGTACGAGTGGTGCCACGAAGGGTCCACTGATGGGCCACGATGGTCCCACTGATTGCTTTTTGATGGGCCACAATGTCTACGATGGGCCACTGAGGGGGTGCCACTAAGTGGTTACTGATGTCCCACTAATGGTCCCACTAAGTGGTGCCATATATGCCACAGTAAACACTGGGTTTACCTTGTTTTGGTATGTAGGGTCAGTATTTGGGGGAAGTACTGACATTATCTAGTATAATTGGTGTAAGAGAGGAGGAAGAGAGAGGGGAAGAGAGAGAGAAGAGAAGAGAGAGTTGAGAGAGATGAGAGAGAGGTGACAAACTTTTAAACTCAGATTGGTCACAAGATAACAACCGCCCACAATGTACTACTATGTACAACAACTAAATAACGGTCTGACTTTCATACACAGTTTTTAAAAACACTTTAAGGGTTGCAAAAAAGGAACACAATTTTTGGCTTCTTAGCCACAATATAAAAACAGGAGTCCCCGGATTTTTCAGTTTTTATTTTTCGTAGCTTAGGCCTATAAAGGCCTTGGTAGCTTTTTGTAGATTTTTTCTGCACAGTTCTGGTCACTTATTTTGGTTCTGGGCTATTTGGACCTCATGTCACCTGTGGGTTTAAGGCTATTTGTGCACCTCATGTCATTCGTGGGTGTATCTAGTTTGGTACCTCATTTTTATCCTGTGGATGGGGTGGCTAGTTTTTGACCCCTGTCATCCTGGGATGGTATGGCTAGTTTTGACCCATGTCTATCCTTGGGGGGTAGTGGCTATTTGTGCACCTCATGCTATCCAGGAGGTAGTGGCAGTTGTCACCTCATTTTTATTGTGGGTGGATGCATTTACTGTTACCTCAAACCCGAAGGTTTATGGGTTTTTTTAAATTGGGGTTTATAAAACCCACAAGTGTATAATGGTGAAACTTGTCCAAGACATGAATCGTTATTATGGAGACAATTTGCCCGAGCTTCTACAGTCACTACTGAGAAGAGTGGAAGATGAGTGAGGTTATCAGTCCCAGACTCCAGCACTGATGAACGCAACGAAATCTGTAAACAGATACACAACGCAAGGACAGTTGAACACGGACGGAGGATATCCGCTAGTGGAACGACGTAGCGTGTGGTGTTAGGGGCCCAAGAGCTTGAGTCCTGCCCTGATATATGACCCATGGCATTGAAACACATGATTTTCAAGGGCATGTTGTCCTTGTGTACGTGGTACGTGAATTGTTATCCTCTCAGTTGGTACAGTGATGACTGGTTAATCTACGGACATTGTGGCCACGGACAATAAACTACGGACATTGTAGCCACGGACAATCTAGGAACATTGTGGCCACGGACAATCTACGGACATTGTGGCCATGGACAATCTACGGACGTGGCCACGGACAATAATCTTCGGACATTGTGGCCACGGGCAATAATCTACGGAGATTGTGGCCACGAACAATAATCTACGGACATTGTGACCACGGATAATAATCTACGGACATTGTAACCACGGACAGTAATATACATTGTGGCCGCGGACAGTTATATATTGTGGCCACGGGCAATAATCTACGGACATTGTGGCCACGGACAATAATCTACGGACATTGTGGCCACGGACAATCTAAGGACACTAGCTACAGACAGTAATATACAAACATTGTGGTCACGGACGATCTACGAACATTGTGGCAATGGATAATAATATACGGACATGTAGAACAGTGTAGCAACGGACAATAATCTACGGACATTGTGGCCACGGACAATCTACGGACATTTTGGCCACGGACAATCTACGGACATTGTGGCCACAGACAATCTACGGACATTGTGGCCACGGACAATAATCTACGGACATTGTGGCCACGGACAGTACCTCACTAATTATGCATGAACGTACATGTACGTATACACACACACAGGACAGGTTTGTCTCACTAACATGTACTGGTGGAGCACCTACAAAGGAATGAGGTTACAAACGATAACCAGCACGGTTCCAGAGACGGGAAATCCTGTGTCGCATGCCTACTGGAGTTCTATGACAGGGTGACAGCAGTAAGACAGAAGAGAGACGGGTGGGTAGATTGCATTTTCTTGGAGTGCAAGAATGCGTTTGACAGAGCTGGAGAATCAGTCAGGTATAACAGGAAGGACACTGCAGTGGATCATAGAATACCTGACAGGAAGGCAACGAGTCATGGTACGTGAGGAGGTGTTAAAGTGGGCGCCTGTGACGAGCGGGGTCCCACAGGGGTCAGTCCTTGGGCCAGTGCTATTTTTGGTATATGTGAACGACATGATGGAAGGGATAGACTCAGAAGTGTCCTTGTTTGCAGATGATGTGAAGTTAATGAGGAGAATTAAATCAGATGAGGATCAGGCAGGACTAAAAAGGGATCTGGACAGGCTGCAGACCTGGTCCAGCAACTGGTTCCTGGAGGTCAACCCCACTAAATGCAAAATCATGAAGATCGGGGAAGGTCGAAGAAGACCGCAGACAGAGTACAGCCTAGTGTCCAAAGACTGCAAATCTCACACACTGCAAGTCGCACATGAACCAGATAACTGCTGCAGCATATGGGCGCCTGGCAAACCTGAGAATAGCGTTCGATATCCCAGTAAGGAATCTTTCAAGACACTGTACACCGTGTATGTCAGGCCCATACTGGAGTATGCAGCACCTGTTTGGAACCCACACCTGGTCAAGCACGTCGAGAAATTAGAGAAAGTGCAAAGGTTTGCAACAAGACTAGTCCCGGAGCTGAGGGGATTGTCCGATAAGGAGAGGTTAATTTAAGGGAACTCAACCTGACGACACTTGAGGATAGGAGGGATAGGCGGGCATGATAGCGACATAAAAATACTGAGTGGAATAGACAAGGTGGACAGAGACAGGATGTTCCAGAGATGTGACACAGCAACAAGGGGACACAGTTGGAAGTTGAAGACTCAGATGAGTCACAGGGATGTTAGGAAGTATTTCTTCAGTCACAGAGTTGTCAGTAAGTGGAATAGTTTGGGAAGTGATGTAGTGGAGGCAGGATCCATACATAGCTTTAAGAAGAGGTATGATAAAGCTCATGGAACAGGGAGAGAGTGAACCTAGTAGCGACCAGTGAAGAGGCGGGGCCAGGAGCTGTGAATCAACTCCTGCAACCACAATTAGGTGAGTACACGTACACACACGCACACACACTACAGCACATGTACTAAACACGTGGTACTGGAAGGCAGTCCTAGAGGTGGTAAGTACAGTACCTGTACTCTGTAGGATGAGTGAGGATGTTACAGTACTGGAGGTGGTAAGTACAGTACCTGTACTCTGAAGGATGAGTGAGGATGTTACAGTACTGGAGGTGGGAAGTACAGTACCTGTACTCTGAAGGATGAGTGAGGATGTTACAGTACTGGAGGTGGTAAGTACAGTACCTGTACTCTGAAGGATGAGTGAGGATGTTACAGTACTGGAGGTGGGAAGTACAGTACCTGTACTCTGAAGGATGAGTGAGGATGTTACAGTACTGGAGGTGGTAAGTACAGTACCTGTACTCTGAAGGATGAGTGAGGATGTTACAGTACTGGAGGTGGGAAGTACAGTACTGATCGAACAACGATAAAAATGTGCAACTCTTCGGTATCTTTATTAAGGAAACGTTTCGCCACACAGTGGCTTCATCAGTCCATACACAGGAGAAGCATGAATAACAGGAGGAGAATGAGGTAATCAGTCCCTCAACCTTGACTCGATGTTGTCAGTCCATCAACCTAGAATAGAATACGGCACATGAGCGGAGAAGTCCCTTATATACCGTATGGCAGGAGAGATGCAGCAGTTGTAGGTGGTGTCACATTTGTCCAATGTGGAAGTAGGTCGTGCCCAACGTTTCGCCACTGTGTGGCGAAACGTTTCCTCAATAAAGATACCCAAGAGTTGCACATGTGTCTAATTTATCAACGTATCGGTTCTCTGAACCATTCATCTACGTCGATAAAAATATTTTTTCCGTTTTCCCCTCAAATTACCTCAAAAACATAATAAAAACATCGTTTCTTTGGCCCTGGAGAAGAGCTCTTGATCCAAGCAACGAGAGCTAGCTACCTGCCAAGTTTCCCCAAGCACCGTTTCGCCCATACGGGTTTAAAGCGACAGTTTGCGTCGCGAAAATCATGCAGATCTAGTGTGTTGTGGGTAGTGCACTGTACCTTGTGTGAGGAGGGCCATGAGGGCCAGGCAGAGGGCCAGGGGTGTGAGGGCCATGTTCAATATCGGGAACAGCAACGGGGACAGCAGCAGGAGGTGGTGTTAGCTTGACTGATCACTGTTAAGTCACGCGGCCAACTGTTCTTCTGGTTTTGTGCGCACATCCCCGCGACCTCAGTCCCACCTCTCTCAGCACCGCCCCTGTTTAGCCCCGCCTCCCTGGCCTCTCTCAGCACCGCCCCTGTTTAGCTCCGCCTCCCTGGCCTCTCTCAGTACCGCCCCTGTTTAGCCCCGCCTCCCTGGCCTCTCTCAGCACCGCCCCTGTTTAGCCCCGCCTCCCTGGCCTCTCTCAGTACCGCCCCTGTTTAGCCCCGCCTCCCTGGCTTCTCAGCACCGCCCCTGTTTAGCCCCGCCTCTCTCAGCACCGCCCTTGTCCTAGGCCCGCCTCCTTGGCCTCTCAGCACCGCCTTTGCCTTAGCCCCGCCTTTGCCTTAGCCCCGCCTTTGCCTTAGCCCCGCCTCTCTCAGCACCTTCCCTGCCTTTGCCCCGTCACTTTCAGCACTGACCCTAGTTTAGCCCCGCCTCTCTGACCTCTCCCAGCACCTCCCCATCACTGCTGACAGCTGTGTCAGTCACCATCACTGCTGACAGCTGTGTCAGTCACCAGCACTGCTGACACCTGTATCAGTCACCAGCACTGCTGACAGCTGCATCAGTCACCAGCACTGCTGACACCTGTATCAGTCACCAGCACTGCTGACACCTGTATCAGTCACCAGCACTGCTGACACCTGTATCAGTCACCAGCACTGCTGACAGCTGTATCAGTCACCAGCACTGCTGACACCTGTATCAGTCACCAGCACTGCTGACAGCTGTATCAGTCACCAGCACTGCTGACACCTGTATCAGTCACCAGCACTGCTGACACCTGTATCAGTCACCAGCACTGCTGACACCTGTATCAGTCACCAGCACTGCTGACAGCTGCATCAGTCACCAGCACTGCTGACAGAGGCAACAGTTAGGTAACTTTATTCCGGAACGTTTCGCCTACACAGTAGGCTTCTCCAGTCGAGTACAGAAAGTAGGCAGGAACAGTAGAGATGTGAAGACGATGTCATCAGTCCCTCACCCTTGAAGTCGTAGATCTGAGGATGTCAGTCCCTCAGCATGGAGAAGAGTTCTGTTCCATAGTCTGGAACAACCTAAGGACTGACATCCTCAGATCTACGACTTCAAGGGTGAGGGACTGACATCCTCAGATCTACGACTTCAAGGGTGAGGGACTGACATCCTCAGATCTACGACTTCAAGGGTGAGGGACTGACATCCTCAGATCTACGACTTCAAGGATGAGGGACTGACATCCTCAGATCTACGACTTCAAGGGTGAGGGACTGACATCCTCAGATCTACGACTTCAAGGGTGAGGGACTGACATCCTCAGATCTACGACTTCAAGGATGAGGGACTGACATCCTCAGATCTACGACTTCAAGGGTGAGGGACTGACATCCTCAGATCTACGACTTCAAGGATGAGGGACTGACATCCTCAGATCTACGACTTCAAGGGTGAGGGACTGACATCCTCAGATCTACGACTTCAAGGGTGAGGGACTGATGACATCGTCTTCACATCTCTACTGCTCCTGCCTACTTCCTGTACTCGACTGGAGAAGCCTACTGTGTAGGCGAAACGTTCCGGAATAAAGTTACCTAACTGTTGCCTCTGTGTCTGACCTACCAACCTGTTGGTATACATAATAGAATACTGTTAAACAAAACAGGGTTTAAGTGCTGCCTGTTTAAGAGGACCCATGTACAGTGACCGCTCTGTAAGATGTCTAACACAACTCTCTTAAGAGAGAGACTTAAGCGAGGTCAGTGACAGCGGAGGTTCAACTGGCGAGCTTAAGGTCACTTGCTTTCAGACAACTTCAGGTTCAATGTGGCCTTAAGCCAAGGTTCACTAGAACACTTGTGGGGGTTCAAGGTTCACTAGAACACTTGTGGGGGTTCAAGGTTCACTAGAACACTTGTGGGGGTTCAAGGTTCACTAGAACACTTGTGGGGGTTCAAGGTTCACTAGAACACTTGTGGGGGTTCAAGGTTCACTAGAACACTTGTGGGGGTTCAAGGTTCACTAGAACACTTGTGGGGGTTCAAGGTTCATTAGAACACTTGTAGGTGTTAAAGGTTCACTAGAACACTTGTGGGGGTTCAAGGTTCATTAGAACACTTGTAGTGTTAAAGGTTCACTAGAACACTTGTGGGGGTTCAAGGTTCATTAGAACACTTGTAGGTGTTAAAGGTTCACTAGAACACTTTGTGGGGGTTCAAGGTTCATTAGAACACTTGTAGGTGTTAAAAGTTCACTAGAACACTTGTGGGGGTTCAAGGTTCATTAGAACACTTGTAGGTGTTAAAGGTTCACTAGAACACTTGTGGGGGTTCAAGGTTCATTAGAACACTTGTAGGTGTTAAAAGTTCACTAGAACACTTGTGGGGGTTCAAGGTTCATTAGAACACTTGTAGGTGTTAAAGGTTCACTAGAACACTTGTGGGGGTTCAAGGTTCATTAGAACACTTGTAGGTGTTAAAGGTTCACTAGAACACTTGTAGGTGTTCAAAGTTCAATAGAACAGTCATAACGGTATTGAACACTGTTATACTGTGAACACTGAGAACAGTCCCTCTATGATTTTCCAGGTGTAAATTATGATGTATCTTTTTCGCCAGTGTTCCAGGGAGTACATGTCTAGGAACTACAACATTCAGTGTGTGTGTGTGTGTGTGTGTGTGTGTGTGTGTGTGTACTCACCTAGTTGAGGTTGCGGGGGTCGAGTCCGAGCTCCTGGCGTGTGTGTGTGGCGTGTGGCGTGTGTGGCGTGTGTGTGTGTGTGTGTGTGTGTGTGTGTGTGTTGTGCCCTCCAGGTAGACCCTCCAGGTAGACTCCACAGTACATTATTGTCTCCGAGTTGTAACCCTAGTGTGTTATCCACTCTCCCTGTTAGCAAGCCTTTGATAACCCAGCTGGATATCCCGGGATTTCCTATCCCACACGCTGGTCCATCGTATAGGATAACCCAGCTTGATAACCCAGGGACTACTGTCCCACACAGTGGTCCATCGTATAGGATAACCCAGCTTGATAACCCAGGGACTACTGTCCCACACAGTGGTCCATCGTATAGGATAACCCAGCTTGATAACCCAGGGACTACTGTCCCACACAGTGGTCCATCGTATAGGATAACCCAGCTTGATAACCCAGGGACTACTGTCCCACACAGTGGTCCATCGTATAGGATAACCCAGCTTGATAACCCAGGGACTACTGTCCCAAACAGTGGTCCATCGTATAGGATAACCCAGCTTGATAACCCAGGGACTACTGTCCCCCACACACAGTGGTCCACCGTATAGGATAACCCAGGGACTACTGTCCCACACACACAGTGGTCCATCGTATAGGATAACCCAGCTTGATAACCCAGGGACTACTGTCCCACACAGTGGTCCATCGTATAAGAAGATAGAGGAGGAGCACTGCAGGAGAGGTACTGACCCATACATGGCAGGTCTTTCTCAGACACTGTTGTGTTCTACTGGCCCATACATGGCAGGTTCTTCTCAGGCACTGTTGTGCTCTACTGACCCATATATGGCACGTCCTTCTCACACACCGTTGTGCTCTACTGGCCCATACATGGCAGGTTCTTCTCAGACACTGTTGTGCTCTACTGACCCATATATGGCAGGTCCTTCTCACACACTGTTGTGCTCTACTGGCCCATACATGGCAGGTTCTTCTCAGACACTGTTGTGCTCTACTGGCCCATACATGGCAGGTCCTTCTCACACACTGTTGTGCTCTACTGGCCCATACATGGCAGGTCCTTCTCACACACTGTTGTGCTCTACTGGCCCATACATGGCAGGTCCTTCTCACACACTGTTGTGCTCTACTGGCCCATACATGGCAGGTCCTTCTCACACACTGTTGTGCTCTGCTGGCCCATACATGGCAGGTCCTTCTCACACACTGTTGTGCTCTGCTGGCCCATACATGGCAGGTCCTTCTCACACACTGTTGTGCTCTGCTGACCCATACATGGCAGGTCCTTCTCACACACTGTTGTGCTCTACTGGCCCATACATGGCAGGTCCTTCTCACACACTGTTGTGCTCTACTGGCCCATACATGGCAGGTCCTTCTCACACACTGTTGTGCTGTACTGTAGTGAGTTCGTTGTAATTTTAACTGAATAATTCGTACATTAATTTAGAGATTTACACTAAGAGGTGTTTATCAGGTTTCCCGGAGTGTGTACTCACCTAGTTGTGGTTGCAGGGGTCGACTCACAGCTCCTGGCCCCACCTCTTCGCTGGTCGTTACTAGATCTACTCTCTCCCTGCTGTATGAGCTTTATCATACCTCCTCTTAAAGCTGTGTATGGATCCTGCCTCCACTACATCACTCTCCAGATTGTTCCACTGCCTGACAACTCTGTGGCTCAAGAAATACTTCCTAACATCCTTGTGACTCATCTGAGTCTTCAGCTTCCAGCTGTGACCCCCTGTGTGTATGTGTGTATATATATACACACTGAGGAGGGTGTATGTCAGTGTATATGTGATATAATTGGTTTAGGAAAGCGGCACGTTGAAGACTGAGTCCAACTCCAGACTCAGGGACTGATTACCTCTAACTCCTCCATCTTCCATCGTTCTTCTCTGTTTTGGGACTGAAGACGCAACTGGCTGGCACCCAACTGTTACACAAGTGTCATTCTTCAGTGTATTTGCGCTGATAATTGACTCTTATTGCTCGTGTAGGGATTAAAATATCCCTGATATTTGTAAAGAACCGCAGCCGTAATAACCTTCGTGTAGTAGATAGGATTTAAACCTGTTTGTTTGTGTGTCATGTACCACAACCTGAGATCTGCTGGCCCCTATTCGGCAGGTCTTTGAGTTTGAGAGGGACCTGTCTAGTATGGGCCAGTAGACCTCCTGCAGTGTTCCTCATGTTCTGATAGCTGACACTGTCTTTATACTGGCTGACACTGTCCTTGTACTGGCTGACACTGTCCTTGTACTGGCTGACACTGTCCTTGCACTGGCTGACACTGTCCTTGTACTGGCTGACACTG